CCTCTGTTTTCTCCCTCACCTCTGTAATTTTCATGAAGCAGTATTGTTCAAGTAGAAACTTATTTTTATTGAAAAATTTCAAGCCAGTAATCAACAGTGAATCTACTGAGCAAAGGTAAAGATTACTTTAGTACAGTTACCTCCTAGGAATCTTATATGAAAGTCAGAGATGGCCTAGGATGACACATGGAAAATCACATGTGATAAGGGACAAAGAGGTTCATCTTACTGTGACAGTTTAAGTGAAGGGCAAAGTCATGTCACCTTAGTTCTCTGCTTCCCATACTTGGAAGTGTGAGAATTTAAAGTTTCTGCTTTCATCAAAAGAGCTGCAGCAAGCCCATCTGACTGGGTTTTGCAGCAGTGAGGCTAATGCGTTCTGACGGCCACAGCAGTGTCAGTTCCACAGGCTGCGGGAGGAACAGGCCTCTTAAGGTTAGTTTGGTACAAGTATAATCAGGGTTATGTGTGATGTGCTCTAAAAATCTAAAATGCATCAATGTAGGCAGAACTTTCCATTTGAGTTCTGCATTAGGAATATTTGAAAAACACACAAGAAAAAAACATAAAGGGTCTTGTCTGAATTGTCTGACCATAATGCAAACACCACCAGAAGTTTAGGGTTTGGTTGCTGGTCTTCAACAAAGAGTTGTGGGTGTGCGTGTTTTATATTTTCCAGAGTATAGATTTGCTAAATGAGGCCTTGTGCAAACTCCAACAACTTTGGGGCTTTTTCCCACCCTGACCCAGTCTTGTGTCTCAGCACAACTGAATGAACTTTCTGATGTGATGTTGTCTGAATCAACGCTGTTGATGGGTCTAGGCTCTCTTCTTGTCTTCTGGGAGAGAGAGATGTTCTCCTTGGTTCCGTAAGATTAGATGGGACTGCAGTAGATCTATTGTACATATTTAAGCATGAATTTGCATGTGCTTTTTGACAATGTATACAGCATCTATGGTTTTCAGCATGATTGTGGTTTTCTTGAGGCTCCAGCATCTTGGATTTGTATGAGATTTTTAACTTCTATAGATCAGGAAAATTTTTTAGCTAATGAAGTGGAGACGTTTAAGGTGAGTTCTAAATCTACGATGTAAAACAAATTAAAAGGCCATAAAATTTCATGATTTATGGGAGATTGTAATGCGAGTTTTTTGAATATGTAAGAGTTGGGAATGTTGTTTTTCTGTTAAAAAAGTATTTTCCAGTCTTCACATTATTTAATTTTATCTTGTGCCTCTTCCTTTCTCTAAACTTGTTTTATTTATTCATTTAAATACTTGTTTCTCTTCCTTTCTCTGCCTTTTTTCTGTACAAGCTTTTAATGTTTTCCTCTAAAATTTATTTCTTTAGTCTTTTCTGTCTTGTTAATCCCTTTTCTCCCTTCCTCCTCCTCTTTGATGTTTGTGCTGTGGTCTTCATCCGTTTCCCAATGGACTTCTCTTAGCTCTCATTGCATGATAAAGCAGTGGGCCAATTAGCCCATGAACAAGGTTTTTCCCCTCTATTCCTTGTACAAATCCCCAAAGCATGGGAAGATAGCGCTTTAGAGACTGGATATTTCCATTTGCTGCTGCATGCAGAGCTAATGGAGCAACGTAGCCTGGAGAAGGACTATAACATAAAAAGCCTACGGGTGCGATGCTGCTGCCCTGCTTCCAGCATGTCTTCAGGCTCGTACTAGGGGTTTAATTTGTATAACTTGCTCTGCTCCTCAATATGAAGCTTTATCCCCTCCTGAGACTGCTCTTGAGAGAATATTTCAAAAACCTGTTCTATAAAAAGCCTGATAACTCAATCATTAATATATGTGAGTCAGAGTGGCTGCTCCCAAGGTTGAGCGAGATGAGACTTGTGAAGGGGACCAAGGGGTGTGATCCAGTTGCCACGGGCTTGCACGGGCTCAGAAAGACTGAGGCATTTGGGGCTTCATCCACCCTGCCAGCGTGAGCTCCAATCCAGGATTGCATTTAATTTGTAAGTGTATACTCTCAAAATGAGTTTGTATTTGGTGTGGGGACTTTTTTCAGTCACAGCTGGAAGCAGAAGCATAGGGCTAGTGGCCTGCAGTTTCTTATTCTGAATGTTATTTCAAGACTGCACCACTGTATGGTTTTGGATGTTTCTCTACTGATCTCTTCCCACACAGACTTACTGACTGTAGCTGAGTGATGAGGATTAAGGCAATTAATGCTTGTACAGCGTTTTGAATGTTAAAAGCCCTTACATAACTAAGTGTTACTATTTGGGGGTGTGCTGCAGTGCAGCAGATCTTGGTGCGAGCAGTTGGGATGTTAGGAGGGCACTAAAACCCAGAAGTGATGGGGCACAGGGCTTGCTGGTCTTGAGTCGCTCGCTGTCCGGGGGAAACATGCCTGTTAGCTCACTCTGCTGATGCATTAATTTAGTGAATCAGCTGATGTGACACCAAAGTGGAGGTGAAGAGAGCCCTTCTAATGTGGGAGAACATTGCGTAGAGAGGGTGTTTCTGTACATTGAGTACCACTAAGATGTGATTATGTTTTTAACCGATTATAAAGACAAAGTTTGCAGATGAATTCACCTGGCAGTCAAGTAATTCTGTAATCGTGAACGATGGATTATATGACTGTTACGTGTTTGAGGTCATTATTTATCAAAATTAATTTGATGTTTCTTGGGGAGGGCTTTTTTTGCCATTTTTTCTTTTTATTTAGCACTGGAGACAATTAAATCCGTACAACGCAACATTGCAACTCAAGGGCAACAACAGAAACAAAATAAAGAAAACAACCCCCAAAGAGTAAACTTCTGATAAGACAACTGCTTTCTGTCGATGAACTCCAGACTCTTTGTGGCGGGGTTGTGTCAGCTTATACCATGTGTCTGGACTAATTGTAGTCTAGGGGCAAGAGTGATTATGGTACTGGCTGCAGTGGAGGTTGCAGCTCACTTTGACATGCTGCAGTTTGTACAAAAAGGGCCTCTATTTTGTGGCTTTTCTGTAAATATCAAAACTAGTAACTATCTGGATGTGGTAGCCCATGGTATAATGCAGTCGATAAAGTAGCGGTAGCGGAGCAGGCACTTTACCAAACCTGCTTGCACTGGCTTGAATAACTTCCTAGATTTTGCTGTCGTTAAAATCAGTGAGAATCAATGGGATAGTTAAATCCATGAACTCATCGTTAAGGCTCGGTAATGTAACAGCAAATTTTAAACAGGAATATCATTACTGGCGTGGTTTGGAGTATATGTGATAACCAAAGAACTCCCAGATGGAGAGCACGGAGATACTCGAAGGTCATCAAGGCTGCCACGGTTTCAGATCAGAGATTGCTGTGAAAGTGATACAAAGTTTTCAAAGTCAACATTATAAACTGGTATTTGGAGTAAGTTTGACTAGGCAAGTTTTATGTAGTAGCTAGAGAGGTTGCAGAAAAAGAATTGGGAAGGAAAAATCTCTTGGTTTTATTGCTATTAATGCTTTGACTTAAGCTGAGAGTCCTGCATCTCCCTGCTGCTGAAGGAAAGCCTACCTTTGGAGTAGGAATTTGTTGCCTTGTGACACCACAGAACATTTTCCAGTGAACTGTTCCCAGAGATGAGGTGAAGGCTGTTATATGCAATTGCCTTTTTATCACATGGGTCATTTCTCTGCACAGACTTTGGTTTCAGTTGCTGTGACCTTTATCAGACTTGTTTGTTCATTCAGTGAAAGACTGTCTTAAACTAATTTAAATTCCAAAATAGTTTAGAGAAGCCTGTAAAAGCTGAGTCAATATTTGAAGTTCTTATTGTTTTTATGTGCTTTTTGAACATTTTCTGCATTGAATGCTATAGGCTTTTTACTTTTGATTTTGACAAATGTTGCAATGTGACAAGTACATGAAAAACTGATCATGGTTATATTTGAACAATGCAGTGGATTTTTCATTAAATTATCTTTTTTCTGCCTGTAGTTGTAGCCCTCTTGACGTTGCATTAACTGCACCATATATTTTGTTGTTGGATAATATGCTCCTTGAGGCAGGGATCTTGCTTGTCATGTTTATAAATCAGCAACTGCATGGATTGCATACTCTGAATAATACTCGGAGAGAAGCTTCATACAGGGAACTTGGGTAAATACATCAAGCAGTTCATGTTTGCAGTGTCCATGGATTCCTTCTGGACATGACTTGCTTTGCCCTTCATTAGATTTTTAACAACTTAATCTGCTACATCATTTCTCTACTTGTAATTTTAGACTCTCTGAGGTCACGTCAGCCCATCGCTAGCAGCAGTAATTTAGCAGAACTGAGCCTAATACCTTCTGCTTTGGCAAAACCAAATAATTTCCCTGCTTGGCTTTTATGAGAAGTTAGAGCTAACAGGAGAAATAAACAACTGAAATATGCTCTTTGGGATAATGATAAAATTTTTTCTCTGCTAAGTCTTTTACGCTTGATTTTGTGGTTTTGCTGTAGTTATTGGTGACTTCCAGTAAGAGTCCTAATAGTTTAGCAGACAGTAATCAGCCTTAGAGTTTATTATCTTTAGAGCTGCTTGCCTAATTGCAGAAGAGCAGTCAGGCTTACTGCAGGGAGGGCTGAAGAGGCTGGGAATGATCTCAGCTCTCGGCTTGATTTGATGGCTGGTTGTGTGGACAAAAACACACCCATGATCCAGCTCTGCTTTAATAGTCTCATGTCTTGGTGCTTTATTTTGCTTGTTTCCTTTTTTCTGCCACTTTCATTTGAATAGGATCTATTTTATTTCAAGTCCAAAGCTGCCACGCGCTGTTTCAGTGCCTGCTGTGCTCTGCCCAGAGGTGGCTGCCTGGCAGGGAAGGGGGAAGCTGAGCCCTCCCAGGCATCCTGAGCTCACCTGCCTGCCTATTCACAAAGCACCTTGAGAAACTCAGATGAAAGCAGCTGCTGTTGTATTTTATTCTCCCTACTCCCTTGAGGATCTGGTAATTGCATGTTTGTTTTTATTCCCTTTTGATTTATGTTCCCTTTTGTTGCTGTGTTTCTGACAGATCCTCCTGACTGGGTTCCAGATGAAGTCTGCAGCTACTGCACTGCGTGCAAGGCTCCTTTCACAGTCATTCGCAGGAAACACCACTGTCGGAGCTGTGGCAAGGTAATGACTCAGTTAAACACATGAGAAACTATCAGCACGTTTATGTGTACCACAGACTCGGCTGCACAGCAAAATGCGGGCACTTGGCCAGGGTTTTCAAATTGTGTGTTTGTCTATCTTGGCTATCATCTGCTTGACCTACGTTTAGAAAATGGAGGCGGGAGGGTTTGACTTTTATGTAGCAATAAGCATTTGCATGATAAAAAGCAGAAATCCCGTGCTAAAATCCTGGAACTTAAAGCCTAAATCCACAGTCATTCTGGACTTCTGCTTTAAGGAGCTGCAGCTGTCTGCACTGTGAGGGACGATGCACAGCTCAGCTGCAGGGACAGCGAGTCCCTTTGCTTGCATTCTAAACCTTTGCAGCAGCACTGCAGTGTGGGGGGCTGCTGCTTTGCAAGTTTGTGGAGGAAGAAGAGGGAGCGAGGAAGAATAAAGCAGTCCTGTGCTTCAGGAAGCCAGAAATCTGTAATCCTGCCTCAGTTGCCTGTGTGCGAGCTAAAAATGATGTGGGTGGAGAAGCTGATTCTGTTAACTTTGTAGTGGGCTTGCAGGAGGAGGAACTTTGAGATATTCGCAAGTATTTCACTAGTCTTTTTTGAAAACCAATGGAGAGGGCTCCTTCTTCTCTGGTGGAGCTGTGACCCAGAGCTCTGCCCCTGTCAGAGAGGCTCACCAGAGTCAGAGTAACTGGCCACGGGGCTGTGAGTTGCCTGCAGAGGGCTTTCAGTTGCTGTGCTGAGAAGGGCAGTGGTGCCAATACACAACAGAAGCCGAGTGTGTACAACCTTCTCTCCTCGCATTTGAAATCAGTTTTTTCCCATCTGGTCCTTCGTAGGAACTAAAGTGAGATCTCCCTCTTGTTTTTCAGATCTTCTGTTCCCGCTGTTCTTCCCACTCTGCTCCATTACCTCGTTATGGTCAGATGAAGCCCGTCCGTGTTTGCACTCACTGTTATATGTTCCATGTCACTCCTTTCTATAGTGACAAAGCTGGTATCTGACGTATTAAACTACTGATGTGTCTTCTACAGTCTTACATGGACTGATATATTCGACCTAGGCCAAGAATTAACTTGAAAGAGGGACCCCGTGAGGGCATGTAGGCTTTGACATCCGTTATTATAAATTTTGTACAGACAGTTTTTACTGCATTTTACTAAGCTGCTAAAGGGAAGTATGAAGTGTCTGTAGCTGTAAGGCTACAGTACAGTCTTCCATAAATTTATGACATTAATGTTACGATGCCATATGCAGAACAAATGCACTGTGTGGAAGGAAATAGGGCTCAGAATTGAACAAGCATTGCTGCTTATCTTACATGCTAGGAACAGAGTAGCCGGTTAACTAGTCCATCCCAGCAAATCCAGTCCCAAAGCTGGGACACTTCTGTGCTCACCACAATACCAGCATGGCTGTGGATGTCAGCACTCTCCCTCCTGCTGCAGTTTAACTTTCCCACTACTAGATTTTTGCTACCTGTGCTAGGATTAATTAAAGCAAAACTATTTCAAATTCATGTTTGAGAGTTACAAAGGCAGATTTTTTTTTTTTTTGGAATCACATAGGAAGCACTGAAGGTCCTGAAGCAGTATATTTCTATTGCCTTTCATTTACTGAACAGAGCAATAACTCTGAGTTATCTTCTAAAAATTAAGTTTTACAATTTCTCGTTCCATATTTTGGAGTTTTGGAAGTATTTATAATTGGCATCATTTATGCTAAATCCTGTTAATAGAAGTGTAACACAGAGCTTTGGATCCTATGTCAGCATTTAAAACTTAAACTTCAGAGGAAGTGATTACCAAATAAATGAAATTGAAATACATATTTTTGAAAGAGTTCAGCAGCAAAATTCAGTAGGTTTGACAAGTTATTTCTCCCATTTTTAAATGGTTCTTGAAGGGGCAAATATGTAGTGATCTATTCAAAAGGTCCTACAGAATGGTCAAACAGAGAAGGGTACTTGTTGTCCACATTTGGCAGAGTAACTGTGTAAAATATTGCATACTGTTACTTCACTCATGCTAACAACTTGGAAGACGTTTGTATTTATTTGAAACACCAGGGATTAATTTTTATCTCCGCTTGGAGAAGAAAGAAATAAGACTCACATGGATTCACGCTATGATCTTGCACAAACTATTTGTGGTAAGAGCTCCCTGAGCAGAGTGGTTTCAAAGGCGTTTGGACATGCTTTGAGTTAGCCACATGAAAAGCGAGACAGTGTGCGCTGTGGTTGCAGAGGAAGCGAGATCAAGAGCTCTTTGCTGTATCCCCTTTCCTGACTCGCAGTGTTACACGCTGTGTTTCAAGGTGATAAATACAGAAAAGGCTAAGGAAGTTGTTTGCGGTATCATGCTCAAGGAAGGTCATCATTCAAAATGATAAAGCAGAACTGGACAGTGTTGCTTTTTGTTTTGTATAATTTATTTTGGGGGGACATTCCCTTTGTTAAGTGGTTTAATAATCAGTGTTAATGAGCCATATAAGGGTACAACAGTTGTTAACTACTGTCGTTTTGAATCAGATGAAACAGCTTCACTTAGTTTATGTGTAATGCACAAGCCTTATGATGCTGTCTGCAGACAATGTCAGCTATGATGCGTTATCCACACCTTATTTATATTTTTTTATTATGATGATGTCCCTGGAGTCCTTCCCACGGAATCCTTGAGTTGGAGTATTGGCATTCACCAGAGCTGGGAAAGGCATGGGGTTGGGTGATTGGTGGGAGGTGGGTAATGTGGTGCAAGCAATGATACTTATTCAGGCTTAAATCTCAGGCTTCACATTACAATGATGATTACAGTTTTATTTTTAGAGAAAAAGAAAAAAAAACCTGCTTCTTTTATAGGATAAAAAAATACAACAAACTTCAATTGTGAAATAAATATGCACAAAAAGTTGCTTCTGTGAAAAAAAGAGAAAGAATATTATTTAATGGACTGGATATTTATTCAAGCTTGTTTTTATTTTGTAAATGCTGTAATTCAGAATCATTTCCATAAATATGATATTTAAAGATCTCAGACACTATAGTTTCTTATGTAAATACAGACTCCTATTTCTCTTACTGAAAAGCACAATGACTATATCAATACTAATATACATTTGCCTCAAGGAAGACTTTCATCTTGTAATCTCTTCAGATAATTAAAGTGTCAGGACTTTCTACTTCCATGTGCTGGATTGCTCTTTCATTTCGGGGTCTGTTTACATGAAGTGACAGCTGCCATCTCATCAGACAAACTGGCCTTAAGTCTTTCTCACTTTGCAAGGAACATGAAATGAGTTTAAATATGAAAATGGGAGTTGCCTGCACAGAGAAGGATGCAGAACTAGCCTGTCACTTACCGTTGCCTTGTGCTACCTCTTGCCATCGGCTGAAAATCTCACTTCCCTAAATATCTTGTGTCAGTGGCCACTTCACACATTAGGCATATTTGATCTGCCCGTGTCACATCTGAATAATCTGTTTTGTGGAGGATACACATCTGCAATGAAAATAGCACTCCTCAGATCTACCTGCACGGTTACTTTTACAAAGTCTAAGTACCCAGTGCTGATTTCTTCTGCTCCTGGTAAGAGAGAGAGCTGTTGTAGGGTTTATGAGAATTTACTTTTTCAGAGGACTTACTGCATGGCTTTGGGATGCTGTTTCACTGAAGAAAAAAACACATTACAGCTCTGTGACACTAAGATCTCAGCTTCAGTGGTGCAAAACCAGGCAAATTTTATGGGAAGCTGGCATGCAAGTTTAAGATTGCATTTGAATTAACATACATAGTATTTATGGGCAAACTGTGTAAATAAATGAATGGTAGAAGTTTATCTTAAAGGTACTTTTTTTTAGTGAAATTCCTATCACTTCAGGGTTTTGAGGGTAAAAGGGGATCTCTTCTCCAAACCACAACACTGTTCCACAGCAGATTTCCTGTTGGGGATACCACAGCAGGGGTGATACAGCACGATAAGGTAAGAGCAACATTGCCGAAGGCAGCAGTAATTCACCCGGTGTTGGACTCTTCTGTGTGACAGGTTCCCTCTGAATCAAGGCTGCTTTCAGAAGGAAAAAAAACCAAAAAACATTACAGTGAGCGCTAAAGTAATCCTTTCTAGATCTGTACAAATCATACAGCATTTTCTGCTCTCTCCAGGTTTGTGGAGGAAGATGGGATATCAGGGCTCCCTCTGCAATGAAAGAAAATTCAATTTAAAGAAATTACTTTTGCTTTCAGAGATTACCCCAAAAACTCAAAAATACTTGAAAACTGTCGCACAGCACCTCAGTGAGGAGGAGCCTGGATGGAAGCGATGGGCAAGGAAAATGACCTTCATATGTGTTGTCTGACCTGGGAGGTCAGAGGAGGAACATGGAGTGTGCATTTGTCACTGTGCCTGTGCGCAGTGTGGGGTGTGAGAGGATGAGGAAGGGCTGAGGAGGCAGGAGGACCTGACTGCAGGAAAGCTTCGCCTACAGCCTCGCTGCGATCTTGCCCAGGAGCTGGAGGAAACCACCTGCTCTCGGTGTCTGTCTCCAGCTGATCTCGCTGTCAGTTTATGCAAAGTTAAAGCTGCTGGGTCTGCATCCCCCGGTTTCCGTGGCAACCCCCGATAGCATCTTGCCACCGAGTGCCGGGACTGCAGCACTGTCCCTGCACAGGCAGGCACGCAGGCTTCTGCTTCCCGCTTCGTCAGAGGGATTGTGACTGCTCAAACGTCTTTATTTGTAGCGAAGATTTATGCTGCCGAGTCAGATGCTTACTTTGAACTCTGTTTTCTGATGACAGCGTTTTGCTGAATTACACTCTATTTATGTTACTTGTCTGGAAGAAATCTTCTCTGTGGGCATCCTTTTGACCACTTTTGGTTCTTTCGCTATTTCCCCTTCCCCTTTTTCACCCTTTACCTCACCCCATCACCCAGCTTTCAGATTTTGCTGTGTGTAAACTAGACATCTTACGTAGTCTCTCCTTGAATATATTGCAGATAGGGAAATATTAGAGGCAATATTAAATAATTCAAGGAGTTTTCATCCCTGTTGCTTCCAGATCTTGGCTCTCATGCTCCTGGGCACAGGCTCATTTCAAACCTTCACTTGGTGTCATTGTGCCTGCGAGAGCATCCTACCACACTGGTCCTTCCTAGCTGCCTGAGCTGCCATGGGTCTTGCACCAAGGTGTTTAAAGTCATAGAATGATCTGGGTTAGAAGGGATCTTAAAGCTCATCTCATTCCAACTCCCTTGCTATGGTCAGGGACACCTTCTGCTAGGCCAGGTTGCTCTAAGTGCCATCCAACCTGGCCTGGAATTATTCCTTTACTTTGTGGAGGAGACAGGATGAATCTTAAATATCAGGTTTAAATAGCTGTTAGTGAATTAAAGATATTGCAAAGACTGGGTTTTTTTAATTGTCTCTCTCTTCTTCTCTCTTTAACCAAAGAATGGCAAAGTATTAGGCCAGAAGGATGAAGAGGAGAAGACTTGATATAGCATATCTATAAGTGTGAAGATTATGTTTTAATGAAATAGTTGCTCTCTTTGAAAACAGACTGTAACTGCATATGCTAGGAATGCTAGGGCTCATGCATAAATCAAACTGGGCAATTAGTCTTTCATGAACTCATTTCATTTCTTTTTGTCACTAAACATGAAGGCTCTGAAGTGTAAGGTATGATTTTTATTTTTTCCCCTCATGTTCCGCTCAAAGGTATGAAGTTGATTTGTCTTCTCGATTTTTCTCCACAAGCAGCCACCAGCCTGTCAAGATTCCGAAAAGAAGATTTTTCTGCGTCCAAAGCAATGCAGCCAACAGCAGGGCCTTCAGGCCTCCTGCTCTGGGCGTTCCTGAGCAGCAGCGAGGGGGTGCTGGGTGCCCCTCTGGGCACCGAGGCTTTGCAAAAGGGGCTGTTGCTCTTTCTGCTGCGCGTGCGGCGTCTGACACAGCCCAGGATGCAAGGGACCGCTATGCCTGAGAATGGCAGAGCTAGCCGGCATGTAGCTGTACCTCAGGCATTACTGAGATTTAAATTTTCTGAAAATAACCTCAGGCCAGGCGTTCATAGCTCTTAAGCAAGCACTAAACCCACATCTTACTCTAGAAAGTCTTACGTATTTTTGCAGTTTTACACAGTAATTTACAGGATGATGAAATATTACTGCTGTGATTTTTTTTTTTATTTGCTGAGTTAATAAAAAACTGAACAGCAGCAGGGGAGGGTGTTTGAGGTGACTGCTTGCGTGTTGATATTTCAGCAGTGCTCAGCTTTCAGTGTTTGAGCTGGAATTAGGCTGTGGTATTGATGGGCTTGTCAGTATGAGGGGAAGATGCTGAGAAGGAGTGCAGAATAGCATCTATGCTGATAATGTGTCTCTGATGATGTCCTGTAAAACACACTGAAAATATCCGTCTCTCCTAAAAGATATGTCTGAAGGTGATAACAAAGTTCCTAAGCCTTTTAGAGAGTTTAGAGAGAGTCATCCCACATTGTTCGGGGCCTGG